TACTATTATCAATTGTATCGTTATTTGTTACTAAGGTCTATTTGTCTCCCGTGAATGTAAGACGAGTCTTTTAGTTACATGGTCACTGTTAAATGAGTATACGTTTATGATTTTCTGTAATAATATCTATACATAAAGAAAAAACGTGTACACGCCACTGCTAGTTTCGTTGATGCATATTTTCAAAGAATCATTATTTGTACGTGATTTTCTTAAGACTAGTTTGAAATCTTCCATTATTTTAAGCTATTAATATCCAGCGAAGTGTAATAGTGTCAGGTTTAAAGAACTTCCATGACTTGAAAATATACATCGATGTACACGAGTAAAGTTGCATCACGTATAGCTATATAGAATCGATTAAGAAGACATCCAATGAAATTGGACAAAATTTGAAAGAGGAGAGAGAGAGGAGGGGGGAGGAGAGAGGATGTCTGTTCTTATTTATTACATTTTTCGACAGATTTTATAAAAAAGATTTATGTATGTAGAAATAAAGGAGTGAAAATAATAAACATTATGAGTTATATTCTTATACATACATCCTACAACATAACAAAAACAACAGCAACATCAACATCCAATTGCTCTCCAATCGCGTGCAGACACATATATGTGGACACACATCCATGCGGAATGTGCATAGACTCTGTCTCAATTGTTTTCAGATAAAGTAGAAGAGATACGCGAAGAAGACGTAGAAGCGGAAACAACGGCGCAAATCGGAAAGGAGGCGCAAGAATCTCTGGAACAGAATTTCACTCCCAGCTTGGCACGCAGACTGAGTAGGCAATTTATCGAGCAAACCCGACAATCTATTCCGCGCTCACCATCCTCGTCACGCGATAGCAACAGATATCAATCGCCAACGAGAGATTTGCCGCAACCTCTGGCAGGTCCGAGCGAGGTGGTGAAACGATGCTCCACATCTGCAATTTCCGATCAGACCGAGTACAAAATCAGATCGTTCGATCGAGATATCAGAAGAACCAACAGCTTGCTAGAGCCGCACAAGTACGATAGATTGGTGCGGCATTCACCTCGAAGAAGTATCAGCTTGTTTGACGATGATGACGACAACAATGATGACAAACTATTGCCGCCTCTCCCGAAACATATAATGACGCTCGGTCGCAAGTACAAAGAATCGGCTAAATCGAGCGTGATTGGTAACGCGAGACGAGATAACTTTTACGGTTGTAGAGCGGATAAGATTCAGGAAGAGCCCAGTGACGACATATATCTATCCGTCTGCAAAGAGAACGTCGATAATGTCACCATATCGGAGAACAGCTCCGTATCAGAAGGTACATCGATATCTGTGTGCAACTCAAACGCTAATCTAATGGACACCAACACCATCACCAACACCATCACTACCACTAACACTACCAACACCACCACCACCACCATCAACACCACCAACACCATCACCAACAGCATCGTCGCTAGCTCGAGCGAGTTTGCCAGATCCTGCGAAATTTCACCCACGGAATCTTCATCGACTTTAGGTGATTGCGGTAAATCAATTTGCAAGTCCGACATCTCCAGGAGTTTCGAGAATCGACTGCTAGCGGCGGAGAACCTAATCAAAGAGTCTAAATTGAAAAACTTGACGTCGGAGCAATTTAATCCGAATCTCAGCTGCAATTACAGGGACACGGACAAGTGCGACAAGGAAACGTTAATGACCACTTCGGACCCATTGTCCTCGGCCAGCTCGGTCGTCACGTCCTCCAAGAGACGCAGTTGCATTCCGAGTCTCAGATTACGTTCGGGTTCGTTAACCAGAGAGTTAAGCGCGGATCGTAGAAAATCATTCGCCGGCAGTTCACCCGACGCTTTTACCGGGAATCAGGAGAGATCGATACTGAGTAAACTCTTCAGAAGTACCGGTAACAGTGGCACCAGTAACGAGACCGAATCAAAGGACGGCAACAGAAATCAAAAATCGAAACAGCATCGTATCTCGCGCTTTCTGCGACCGGATTTCTTTGACACGCCGCGAGAAGAGAGCCAGTACGTGAAGGAGAAGGAGGCGCGAAAGGCGGCAGAGAACGAGCGCCGAAAGTCTCGATTTATAAGGCGAAAAACCGAAAGCAAGGAGCGTAAGGAAGATGGCCCGAGAGACGAAAAGATCTGCAAGGAACAGAAGAATGAGATAAACGCGTTGCAGAAGGATAAATTGGGCAACGTCGTCGCCTCCTCCTCCTCATCCTTCTCCTCTGAAGAGAAATCCAACAACGAGAATCGAGAGAGAGCGACGAGGCTCGAAGAGCGACAAGGGGCTTCAAAGAGCAGCTTCCTGCAGTCGTTGGAAAAGAAACTGGAGAGATTGCGCTCGAACGATGAAAGCACGACGAGCGCGACCAACGCAAAACCAACGGCGAACGGAACCTCGTGCGGGATCTCGAGCGATCGAGAGGAACGAGGATCGCGCGAGTACTCCGCACCGCCCGTCAAGTGTCCACCCGACTCGGGCTCGAGCTTGGCCGAGGTGAAGAGGACGCTCAGCGTGGAGAATCTGTCGCATCTACACGGAGGGGCATCGAGGAAGGAGAATGCCAAGAATGCACCGTCGAAGGGTCGAGTGACGTCGGTACTGGGGTTGTTCAAGACAAATGCCGACGCGACGAGACAGAACGCGAACAGTGGCAACAGGTCGCAAAACCCGATTATGAGTAAATTGAAGAGGAGGAGCCCGCCCAAATGCGCCAAGTCGCTCGAGTCGTCGCCTTTGGAGGAGGAGGACGTAACCGTTGCGTTGAGCAAAATACCAGCCACGAAATTTGCGAGATCTGATAATAAACCGGGAAAGAAGCTACCGGAGAAAGTGGTGAGCGAGTGCAAGAGATCGCCGCCCAAAGAGAAATCAAAGGAAAAAGAATCGGTCAAGGAAAAGAAATCTTCGAGGGAGCCGAAAAAGTCAGTGCAATCCTCGACGGACTCGTCGACGTCGTCATCGGCGGATAAGCCGAAGCTAGAGAAAGCGGAGCCATCGAGAAAGTCAGATCAGAAAATGGAATCTCCGCAGAAAATCGTGGACAATAAACACGCAGAGTTCGTTATCGGTAGCGAGGACAAGAAATTGATTAAAACCAAGAGGAACATTAGCTCTCTAATAAGCAAAAACGAGTTCGTCGCGAAAGTCGACAAAATCGAAGACGTCGATAAGAAGAGCAAGGTGCCGATTATTAAGTCGAAGGAGGATGCGGATAAAGATGAGATCAACGACTCTAGGAAAAAGAAAATAGTCCGCGTTGTGAAAAAAGTTGTCAAGAAATCGTCCGACGAGAACGGAAAATCAACGAAGCCGTTGACTGGCCGGAAGAAAACCGGAATAATAACGAAGAAGGATCGGAGTCCCGAAACCCCTATCGTTACGGTACAAGGCAAAATCGAAAGACAATCGGAAAACAATCCCGATAATCAGACTACCGCACGGTCGTCCTGTTCGAGACAGACGGCAGAGTCGGACGACATAAAGCTCGAGGACGTTCAAGACGTATTTACAAAAAGTATAAATAAAAATCAGTTGAAAGCTAACGTTAAAGAGATCTGTTCCGCATCGGATAAATTCCAAAATAATGTAAATGTATCATCATCACCCGCCGATATCTCGCAGACGAAGAAGAATTGGAACGCCTCGAGTTCTCAAAATTGTCCGAATTCTCTGACTCGAAGTACCTCCGCCGATTGTCCGCCCGCGGACAACTCGTCGAGTCCTTTCGATATCTGTCACTCGAAGCAACAACCGCAACTGGAGCAACAACATCGGCAGTCGAGTCGAGCGAATCTGAAACTCGACCTGTCCAAGATACCGCAACACACGTTCAGACACGCAACTCCTAAGAAAGATTCGCCGAAGTCTGATTCATCCAGAAACGCGATTCATCCTATCGCGTCTGTCGGATTACCCGCGATAGATCCTGACGATCCTACGACAGCGGAGAGCAGCGGTTCCGACAAACTGATGGAGCGTCTGTCAAGGATGACGCATCACGCTAACATTACTGGCAACAAAATAATCATCGATAAGCCGCTACGAGCGAAAGATGTCGCCGAGCTAAAACGAGAGGTTACCGAGTGCGCAAAAATCATAGAGAATCATATGGAATCACGAAACGGTCGCTTCACCGAGCAAACGGTCGATCACCAAGCCACGTTTGCGTCGGATGAACCGGCACACCGGGACGTATCGAATGAGACCAAGCTGGATTCTTCCGAACGACGTGTCGACGACACTAAGGTAAGAACCACCGATAAAGAGCCACTGATGCGGGATTGCATCAGCGAGATATTCTCGCCCGAAGAGCCCGAGAGTTTTGACTCCTGGTCGATCTGCTCGGCCGATCTGAATCACAATCGCGGCGATTTGCAATCGCCATCACCGACATCACCGTCGTACTCTCTATTTGTACGCGGCGACAGCTCGCAGGAATCGGTGATAGACCGAATACGAAGACGCAGTTTCTATTCGAGATTCAACGATCGAAAGAGGCCGTCTTTGACGGCGCCGCCACCAGGGATGAGCAGCGTGACTCTACCGAGAAGGTTCAGCTTCAACAGTCCCAGAGAAAGGGAACGCAACAGATTTTACAATTACGGAGTTCCCAGGACGAGGTAAATGTGTCGTTTATAATTTAGAATTTAGAACTCCTTTTCCTCGATTTCTTTATTCTATTTAAATTAAATATCGTGGTTATAATTTATAATTAGACGTAATGAGGAAGAAAACCGAGCTGTTTTTCAAAACGTAACGAACTCTGTAGCTTTACATATATTTCTGCCAAATTTCTACCAAACGAATTTTATTGTAATTAAAAATATATTTCGTAGGACGAAAGACAGAAGTTACATTTCGCACGGCGATGACGAAATGACGTTTTCGAGAAAATCACCAGTCGACCGAGAGAAATACAGCGACGCGTTAAATGCATCATCGTACGGTCATCACAGTCCGGAAGCGAGAACCGTTTTCGATCCTTACGATAGCGGTCTACCATCCTTCTCGCACGATTCTCTAAGGAGATATACGAGATCTCCGACGTTGGACCTTGTCGTCTCTCGCGCCAAGTATCACAGCACGGACATTATTGCGGACAACGATCTCACAGGAATCTCGTACAAGAGTCCTCTGTCGAAATCATTTCTGAGTGACAGCATACCGGATCCTTCCTACCATGGGAGAAACATGTCGATCACTTTGCCAAAAAAGTACGGTTCTACCGTCGGTGGCCTAGAGCCGAAAAGTGTAGAATATTACGAAGAGATTCTGTCGCCAAGCAATCCCGACTATCTGTCTTCCCGCGAGACCTGCCGATCGCCATTATTGGACGTATATCTGAACAGATGTGAGAACGGCTATAATCACAATGGCAATTTGGATCCGTTACAATTTAATACCGATAAATCAAGATCCTATAATACGGATAATATGGAGTTTGGCGAGCAAAAAAGGTAATATAATAAGAGATAACGAAAAATCAAATACACTGTATATCAAATACACTGTAAAAACTAACGTAAAAGGAATTCCATTCATATGAAATTAAATTTCTCAAGATCTGATTATATCCATCATTTGAGATTCATTCTTAAAATATTGTAGATCTCGTTAATCTATGATAATTTGTCTTTAACAATTTTTTTTGCATTTTTCAGAAATACAACGCAACGTTTCAACGAGACTAAAGATACGTCCTCGACAGCCACGGATATCTTATCGAACGTATCTGTTACCGAACGAAATTGATTTAATTCGAATAGAAAGTAATTTTAAAGTAAAAAGATAATCTGCCGAACGCGTCTTATATTTATACTTTACAACAATTTTATATAATATAGATTTGCGTAAAGATCTGTCTCGCGCTTCTTCATCACGGTAATGAAGTTGTCGCGACGACGATAATGGCGACGAATGAAAAAAGCAAACAGCTGTTTCAAAATTCACTGTCAATATTGAAAATCTATAATTCACGTAACATATATTACACATTATTTGCGCTGATAATAAATTTTGAAACACAGCCTATATATAAATATATATACATTGTCATATATTGGAGCGTATTTATATTTTTTTTAGTAGTTTATACGCTTCAAGTTTCAAAATTACTGTTTCAGATACAGTCTAATTTTATTTGAATCTTACCTACGATGAATTGTTCAACACGAAATTTCAATTTGTCTTTTCTTATTCTTAATTTTAGTATTATTTTCTGAAAGAAATTCATCGCACAAATCTTTAAGCATTTCCTATATCAGTGAATATAATTATACTCTGATATAATTATACTCTGGGAATATAAACATCCTCTCCATGATTAAATGCAAACTAAAGGAGCACTCCAATTCCGATATTTATAGAAATATATATAAATATAAAAATTGACAGCTGCCAAAGATTATAGCCAAAGATACGAAGAAATTCATTTCTTTTCATTTATCTCATTGATCTAACTCGTGTTCCAAAGCATCAATTATTTTAACAAATTTAAACTGCGTGTAATTTATTGTCGATCTTTTTTATTGGAAAGATATATTGAATATATCATTTTTATTTTTCAGTTTATCTTTTGCCAAAATTGTATTTATATATAGTTTGAGAGAGAAATAATTTTTAAATGGATATTCTTAAAAATATAAGTATAAGTAGTAAACTGTCAAATGTGCATTATGAATTGTAGTATATAAAAATTATCCGTAATATCAACAAGTCGCTTTTGATCTAAACTGAACAATCTATTCGAAGCAACCTGATGCTTTAAGACCCAATAGAATGAGAATTAATAAAAGAAAAAGCGCAAATGATGGTTTTTAGTTTCTTATGCGAATATTGTTACACACAGTCGAATTTTCATGATTCTTCTATATTTCTTTCCTTATTCTTTCTTCGATTTCTCCTCTCTCATTGCTCTTTCGTCATTCGATATTAATCCGAGTGAGTGTACATGTATGTATTCAGAAATATAAAATAATGAGGAAGTAGAGTACAAGAGGATAAGTAAAGATGGAAGTTATAAGGAAAGATAAAAAGAAACACGAAACTTTGATTATGACTTATAAAAATAATTTCTATTCTATAATAATTGGATCAATCGGAAATTGCAAGGAAAGAAACAACGATATCATAGGTCTCTGACTGATCGGTCACCTCACAGTCTTCCGCTTGTTACGTATGTATTTTCTATTGGTATATGTATTTTAAAATAAATATCAATACTCTTCAGATACTTCATCTCTTAGTTTAGTTATTTTTTTTGTATATATTATGAATGCGCGAGTACTAATAACTCAATAGTACTTAAAAATAGTACTTAATAGCATAACCCCACATTAAAGAAAATGGTCTTGTTCGGGAGAGAGGGGGGGGAGGGGAGCTAGCTTTGAAGTTTCACGAGTAGTCAACTTTTCGTTTGCAAAATAAAGTTTTTAATCCGAACTCCGTCTGGCGTCATTAACAACGTCATTAATAACGATAACTAAAATTTTCAAATCAATTGAATAAATTTATGGCGACCAGTTTATTAACAAATCCTATAAAACTGCGCTTTTATATAGAGAGATATGAAAAGGAAAATAAATTGATAAGTGTTCAAGAAACATTTGTGGCTACCGTTCGTACGAAATCGTTAACTGGCAAATTCTATGCGAAACACGATGTTTTCTCTCCATCGGACGCTAGAGAGGAGGATATTAACCTGATTAAACGACAGACGGAGATGACGCCGAAAGATATTTACTCGTTTAGACCGCCGACAGTAAATATGGAGTAGGTCGATAAACAGATAAATGAAAATGAACAACAAATTTTTTTAATAACGAAGCGTTCTGATATAGATACGGCTGGTTCACTACGCCACTGGTATCTATTAGGAAAGATCCGAGATTACGCTTTTCAAGGAAACAATCGGACTTTATCGCGAATGAACTCGTACGTCGGAAACTGCAGAAAGGTCTGCCGGAAAAGAAATTCGTTGGCGTACCGTTTAGAACATAAATATTTATATAGATATGATTCTATAAATCAATAAAATGCCATTGTCACACGCATACATAGGGGATTTTCAATTCAATAAATTTCTTGTAGATATGTGTATCGTTAAAGAGAATGGAGAATCTTTTTGCCATTGCCATTGGGCTGGCTAAGTTGAAAAAGCATTGCATTGATTCGAGCCAAGCGCGAACCGCGAATCGCGAACCGCGAACCGCGAACGGTGTTCGGTCGCTCGGCCTCGGTCACTCGGTGTTGTGTCACTGTTCCTTGGCAACAAGTGGGCAGCCGTGTGGGCCGTGGCAACTGGCAACTGGTAGCAATCTGGCAATTCTTTCGTAAGATGGCAGGGATCTTTAGAATATATACGTGTACACATTTTTTTATCCAAGTAAATCCAGAAAGTAAGATCTGAACGCGCGAGTATTCAACCCGAACGTACGAGTATCGAAAATTTATATACTTTGCTGTTATCGTTATTACCCATCATGAAGCTGCTGGAGCGTATGCGATAAACCACGTACAAAATCGACAACGATGCTGTTAACCATATAATTGATAATAAAACTGTCATTAGACAGTTGGACATGGCAGGCAGAGCTTTTTGCGTTAAAGTACAGCTGGATGTACACGCGGTACGTATCACGATCATTTGTTTCGTATTCCCGTAATTGTATTCGCACTTGGCTCGTTCAAAGAGTTCGTTCTAACGCGGTCCAGGTAACGTGCCCTGGCGTTTGGTTATGCTCCAACGGCAAAGTGGCTCTGCAAATCAACGCTCTCGATTCCTATGCGGAATCCCGAAGAATCAGCCCGATTTTCCCGCTCTTGTTTCACGATAAATTTACCTTCAGTAAAATCTTTACTCGAGTAATTTCCTTGGCGGAGCTGCAGTGCACTTTGGAGCAGGAATTTTTATATGCCAAATTGATACAGTGGGTAACACCAGCCAGCCGAGGCATTATTTTAGCCACATTTGAAACAAATTTAGCAGATTTATTGTATCCAGCGCCATGCTTCAAAGGTTTACTAGCCGGTGTGGATATAGACCTGCTGATGGAGTCGACTAAATGTTTTCCCGTATGTTTTACCGTTTCAAACGCATCTGTCCGATCGAAGATTTCTTTTCTCATTAAAACAAAACTATATACGCTTTTCTCTTAGGGTATCATAGCGCCTAAAATCGAGATCTCTACCAAAACGATTGTCGAGGAAGTGCTGGGCTCCTATGACAAATATGTTATCAATCCAAAGATGATTAACTCTAAGGTATTTTGTAAAATCAACACGTACACGTGTCGTTTACTTTTCATTATATTTTCATGTATTTGTTTAAGAATCTTGATTTATATAACGCTACATCAACTCTACATACGTAAATAAATTTCAGCAAACAGCATGTGCACAAAGGAAAAGGCCGATTAAAGGTATTATAAGGCAACGACGAGTTTGTCATACCAAAACCAAGCCGAGATCTCAAAGCTGTCGACCGTGGGTATCATTATTACGTAATATTGATATTGATAAATATGTCACCTATATATGATATTGCGGGATCCTCATTAGATATCGTCAGAGATCGAACGATTGCCAATGTTCCGCGATGCGATATGCGACGAGTCATCAGACAGGATCACAAATTGATCAATGTTATCACTCGATAAAGAAAGATTCTGCATGCACTTGTCAAGCAAATTTCACAAAATCAGCTGAACCTACCCTCATACGTAACAACATCCACGTTATAGACAATTGTCCGGTTTGTTTCAAGTATAATTGTTATTTTCCCAAATATCATGACGATTCTGATATAGCTAAAAAATATATCGACGCTAAGCAAAGATGTCACAGAAATTTATCGGACGTTGGAGAGTGCGATTATATTTGTAGAAATGGCGCGTCTGACATACAAAAAGAAGCGGCAACGTCATTGTGAGTCTATTGAAAACGAATGAATTTCTTGAACGTCTGTTTACGATCCTTGTATTTTTACAGATCACAATCTGATAAAATTGAAAAGCTTCCGAAAACTAGGGAAAAATGGTATGTTACTGAAACGGACAAGTAAGTGATGACATACAATGTACAACTACAGTGTCGTTTTCCATAAGATACAATAGGTGTTATAATACATATAGGTGTTTGACATTTTGAAAATATTATATTTCAGTGTCTCTATGTGTCGATATGAGTGCGATCCAAAATGCAAATATACTCGAGATTACTCGGGTCATGGATTTTATAAGAATCTGGAAAAGTTTTACAAAAGAATGTATAGACAAGCAAAAATGCGTGCGCAGGAGGTTGATGGTTGATGTGAAAAATACCATCGTCATCGCTCATACTTTTCTAATGCAACTTTTGTATCTATATTATAAACTTTTATAATTACTGAATATTTTATATACGTGATATCAAACGAAACAATCTTGTTTAATAAAAGGACTAAAATGTTAATGTAAGTACAAGTATACAAGTATTAATATAAGTTATTGTTATTATACATTTTTACAAAAATACTGTAGTGATACGAATACACGATACACACGCACACGCGCGCGCGCGCGCGCGCGCACACACACACACACACACACACACACACACACACACACACAGCCTCTTCTTACGTAAAATCACAGTTACCACATAGAACAAAAGTGAATAATGATTAAATGCATAAATGCTGAAATAGATATGTAATGCGAGGATGTGCATTTGGAATATATGTACGTACACAATATATGCGTATGAAAAAGGATTATTTATTTTTTATATGCTTGAACACCGCTTCTGTAGGTTGGTGTATCTGAGACTCGATTGCCACGTAGAGCGACAGATTTTTTCAAAAGCGCCGGCATTCTTAAATGCAAACCGCGTCCTTGTGGGCTCCAAGCTCTCAACACAACATGTTTAGCTTCTTTAGCAGCGATCGCGATCCATCCTATACAAACAATTACACAAAATTATAACTATGTGCAAAAGTAAGTTTATATTTGTTTTATTAAGGATTACCCGCACTGGATAGAACGACATCGGCGATCGATTCATTTCTTCCGACACCAGTAATCTCTATCTGTTTCGATCCTAGCGCTGGCCAATGTTTCAATCGGTCCAGATTGTTCTCAGGTACGACAAACGCTTCCGTTTTGAGTAATTCATTGTATACGCCGTCCGCGTCCTCAGTACGAGTTAAAGTTACAGGTAGTTCATCACTCGAAAATATCGTGCACCTAAATGGCATTGTGCAATTGTGTTAAATGATGGACTTGGATATTTTTCATTCGCGCATTACTATCGGGAATCATCAGACATGTTCTCAAGTACCTAATAAAACTGTCACCCTCTACGTAATCCAATCTACCTATTCCGCCCAAAAATATCGTTTGATTTACGTGTAGAATAAAAGTTCTAGGTGAAATTATTTTCTTCGGTAAAACCGACAAAAGTTCTTGCATCGTTAGCAAATCCAATACTTGATCTTGTTGTATGGTGCCAGGAGTATCATAACACCAACGGCTGTATTTATACTCCTCTTTGTTCTCGTCAAAACCAAATTGTTGCATAGAGCTGTTATCGTATTTTGCTTCCGCAAATGGATCGTTTGTTACTTTAGTTTTGGATTTGGATTGAAACGTTCTGCCAATGTGACCTAAAATTGAAGTATATAATACATTTATATTTTCAGACTTATAATACATCACACCTGCGATACATAGCGATGCAAGAATTTTTAATACATGTAATAATTGCAATAATTGCATTATTATATTTTATAAGAGTTTTATATTCAAATGATACATACTTTGTAATGTGGCGTACTCTAATTTACGCGTCGTTTTGAATTGACTGATTCTAAATTTCTCTTCAACATGCTTGTATAGTTGTTCCTCTTTTAATCGTAACATTCTCGAGTAAAGCCGCGATTTGTTGGGATTTAAGATAGGAAATTTCAGCAGGTTCAATGTCGTGCCTGGCCAAGGAGAAATAGTTGCGCGTTGTATAAGATCTACAGCCTGTACCTTACAATAATCGGATTGCAGAAGAACGTTGAATAGAGAGGATTTACCCACGTTTGTGCACCCAATCACATAAACATCTCCTAGATTATAATTGCAATACATACATAAAAAAAAATATAGAGCAAATATTTTTTTTAGATAATTAAAATTTTAGATAGTCAAATTCTTACCTTTATATTTCCAAATGGCATGCAATTTATTTATAAGTTCCTCTATGCCATAACCACTTTTTGCAGATATGAGTGCTACATGTCTGATATTCTCCTTCTTGATTCCTGTATTTTCTACAGCCTTCGACAAACAATCTTTAACATGAGCAAAGAAATGTCTTGAATCTTGAGGCAATAAATCTATTTTATTTCCTACAACAAATACCGGTGTCAAAGGATGGAGAACGCTATTTATCTCAGGCCATATGCTGCATGGAAAATCCGTAAGATCGACCATGAGAATGACAGCACATTTCTTTGTTTTTATTACTTTTAAAAGTTCTGGATATTCATCTGCAGAGACTTTCACCTCCAACGTGGTGTTGTAATGTCGCATAAAGTGGCATCTTTGACAAATCATAACTTGCAGTTCCTGGTTACTTTTCTTTAAAAATAGTTCCGAAGGCAAATAACCTGGTAGAGCGTGATCTTTACAGTGCAGCAAGGCACCACAGCCGCCACATGGAACAGAACTAATATTCGAATTTGGATCTGGAGTACCATAATTGTTGAGCCAGATATTGTCTTGCAAAGTATCATCATATTGCTCGACATCAACCATCCAATTGTACGGAACATTAGATTCTTTCTCATATAATCCATCGACATCTTTGTCCTTTAAATAGTCTTCCAGACTGAGATCTTCATTTCTTTCTAAGGCTTTATACTTTTCCATTAAATATCTTTCATACAGAGCTTTATACTCTTCATTCAATGGTATATTTTCATTAAAATTACTTTCATTCGATTCGTTTAAAGATGTGTCCACATTACTATACGAATCAGTAGTTGCATATGGCATATATACAGGTTTTATTAAATCGTCTTCTGTACTTGTATATTTCTGCTCCAAACGAGTGTCTTCGTCATTCTTCGCGTCCAGGAGTACGCTGTAGACAGGTAAATTTACAAGCGTATCAATTCGCTTGTTCCTTTTAGCATACTCAGTCTTCTTTTTCAATAAATAACGCTTCATGTAACTCATTTTCACTTTCTGATAATCTAAATAATCGCAATATATCAATTTCTCTCGCAGTGCCACGACTCTGGAATCGAGAGACGATTGAACGGTGTTCGCTTTCGCGTCGCATTTCGTAGAATAATTAAATGCCTGAATTACATGGCGACAAGTTTTCAAATAACAATATGTATTATCAATGTAAGTTTTCAATGCTGAATGCTTCGTGAAAGTAATCAATTTAATATTATTTACAAACATCGTAGATGTAACACGTATCGCAATGTGATGTACACATATATCATTATGTATCACCGCTTCATCACTTTAAGGTTAAGCTCTGTAAAGAATAGTTAACCTTACTTTTGGAACATGAGGCAAAATACGCGCATGCGCAAAACGTTTTTATATGTGACTTAAAAATGGTGAATTCGATTTCGATATTTCGAGAATCAAGAAACGAGACAAAGATAACTTCCCACTTTTTAGACGACTAGACACTACAGATGCGCGCTTTATCTGTAGATGTATCTTTTTAAATAGAAAAAAATAGAAATTAATAAAATACTACTACACTATTAACCTTTTACATTAAACACGTATGTACAACTGTCAAAACTATTTTCGCGACGACAGCCACTCACGAACTTAACATGCCTTTTTTAGAAATGGATTATTGTTCTTTGCTTTGCATTTTGCTTGTACAAAAAATTATATATATCTCGTATACATGTTAATTCTTAATATAATTATGATCAACTTACCATGAATTATTCCTCAGTTCAATTTCAGCGTGTTGATTTCTCGTTCAAGTACAATAATCTTCAATCTTCTTTTCTTATTTACACATTTAAAAGAAAATAAAACTATTGATCTAAATTTAAAATCATCTGACTTTTGTTAATAAATAAAATGAGTACGACATGTATACATAAATATGATATAAATGTTTCAAAGAAATTATTTAAAATTCAAATAAAGTAATGAAACATCGCAATATAACATCGCAATGTATATATATGTATATATATATGGTGTGTGTGTGTGTGTGTGTGTGTGTGTGTGTATATGTATATGTATATGTATATGCGTCGCGCGCGCGCGCGCGCACACACACACACACACACACACACACACACACACACATACACACACACAAAACTTTGTTTATATATTTAATGTATGATAAGATAGTTTTGTATAAGTTGGAATTGTTCAATATATTTTTCAAATATATATATATATGTATATATATATATGTGTACACACACATACACATATACGTATGAATGTATGTATATACAAACTATTCATGTAATATTCGGAATACACAGTCGGATTTATCAAACATAAAATTTGATACTTTGAATATTTGATACTTTGTATTGAGACAACGTACACATACGCAATGCGCAAGTGATTTGACAATCATGCCTTGATCAATAATAAGAAATATATAGTCGACACTCGATGAACAAGTTCTGCTCTATCGTGGAAAGTTCTTTGGTGTTAATTATAATATTCCCATTTTCTTCCTGTCTTTTCGAATATTTACTTAGTATTTGTCTTTTATTTCTTACTTTTGTATAATTCTTATGCGTAATATTACAAATTAAAATATAAAACTAAATGGAATACATGGAATATAAGTCTTAAAAAAATTTATATATACATGTTATATTATATATAAAAATAATTCTAAAAACACAAATGTATCTCAACGATGTCTGAAAGATGTTTAAAAGATATCAGATGCTGTTAAACATCTTTTAGATATTGTCTTGAATGTTATTATCATTTAGCCATTTTTTTTTCTCAGACTGACAGGAAAAAAGTCCTCAATGCCAAAATCTCATGTCAGAGATAATATTTGAGAAAAATTCTGTCCACAAACAAAATATCTCCTAATGTTGTATTTAATTTGGAATTTATTGTATTGATTATTAACAGCCTTCATATTCTCTGTTCGTATTTAGTATTTGGAATACTTCTATATTAATTTCCATCTCATTGCGCATCATACAGATATGCAGTCCTTTATAAAGATTATCGATATCTTGTTTTTCATTTCTTCATTTATTTTCGCCTTTTTCATATTTTTTTCTACTCTCAACTTTAGTCAGAAAGATTCTCGTTTTTGTTTGGTATTTATGTTTCATGGAACGTAATACACGTAATGACCGTACGTCACCGGACGTCACTCTTTTTAATTTTCTTGATAAGCTAGTCCATTGTTTAATTATTTGGAATATGTGTGCTCACCATTTTTCTTCTTTATTTCTTTTTTCGACACGAATCTTTCGATAATCACCCAAATAAATTTATTTATTTTTTTACAGAGATCATTTTCACATGTTTTAATCTTTCTATTGTGTGTACCGTCCGTTATCGATAACGACTATCGATCGGTAATTCGATGATTTGCTGCTTATCTGTTGATAGCCAAGATTCGGAACGTGCAGAAATTCCGAGATTCTCGCTCATTCTCAACAACAACCGTTTCAGCATACGTGAAAGCCGTAACACACGTCACATAAAGACATTATCTAGGGTGGGTAGATTTTTTCTAGTAGGTGTCGAGGTAATGCCACAATTGACCCCCTCGTCCTCGAACGTAACCATTTTCTCGCGACTCCTAGTAGCGGTGTTGCAGCCGCCGCCTCCACCGCCGCCATCCAGCAGTCGCGTCTGACTGGCCATTACTCCGGTGGCGACCGACGGTGTAATCGTCGAGGAGGGCCGAAGCACTGACGCCGGGGGTGGCGGTGGCACCGCCATATCTGTCACGGCAGCCGCAAGGTTGAACTCGCTGACGCTCCGCGGTACAAAGTATTCAAAGTGCAACGAGCTTTCCTGTTGTCGATGTTGATGATGATGATGAGGTAGCTGCTGTTGCTGCTGCTGCTGCTGCTGTTGTTGCTGCTGCTGTTGATGATGATGATGATGCTGCGTTGGTGACAGACAGCTCCTTCTTAACGGCTGACCTCGTTGGAACTGTTGTTGAGTGCTAGCGCCCGAGGACGACGAGTTGCTTGCCGTTCTACTGGCTGCATCCAGCGGCAACGTCTTCTTGCGCGGCAGCGAATGATGACCTGGCGACAACTTTATGGCAGTGTTCGAGGGGTGGGCCAGGAGCTTGCCGTCACCGGGGCTCCTGGCCTGATGCTGTCAGGAACCGGCCGGCACCATCGACATGGCGATCGCCTCCTCTTCTTGTTCGGACAATCGCGAGTCACTGGTGCCGCCTCCGTCATCGAGGTCGGCCTTGAGACCGGAAGTGGCGCCTGCTGCAAAGAAAAAGAGAGGAACCACGCGTGACTCGTGACTGCCAATCGCCTCGGCGGTCATATATGACCGCATTGTTTTTTTCGATCGTATTTTTCGGAAATTCTCAGTTTCTTCGGTCGCGATTGGTATTGGTATTGGTAATGTGACGACAACTTCTACTTATGTAAACCAACGATGCATTCGGAAGATAAAACCGTTTTGCAATGTAGTAATTATGTCTGACTGATGCATATATTGGGATCGAGCTAACTAATTGTTACAAGACTGTTGTATATGTTGTTGCAGTTTTTGAACGCGACTAAACTGCGTGACGGTCGATAAAATAATCAACGTTTTTTCAAGATGTTCTCTCTCTCTCT